CGGATTATAAGAATTATGACTCCAAAGTTCTATAAATTCAGAGCCTCCCATGAGTGGCTGTGCAGTGGGGCAGGGCTAAGGCACCGTCCTCTCCACAGCCTCCCCACCCCTTCCAGATTTTGGCATTGCATGGGGCGCCATTGAAATTTGAGATGCCAAGGTCTACCAGTGCACCTGACCAAGCTGTAATTGTAACTCTATTTATTGATGTCAGGTCACATGTGGAATACTTATTTTCAAGTCTAATTTTGAAATCCTGATAAGCCATTGTCCAAGTTTGCTTGAAACAAGCTTCAGAAAAACTAAGAATGGCGGGTGTGAACAACCTGCTTCCGAGAGCCCCAGTGTAAAATCACAGAAGGGTCGCATTGGAAGGGACCCCCAGGGTCATCTAGCCCAACTTTCTGCAATGTAGGAATCCTGCCCACAGCAGTTCTTGGTTGGGCTTGGACCACCAACTTTCTGGTTAGCAGCCACAGAGACGCATACTTCAGACTAAATTGTATTCATGCGGCAAAAGCAGCAAACAACTTTTCATTAACCTTTTCTAAAGCAGGTTTTAAAAGCTATCATCCTGATATATAACAGCCATTTGAAGCTCTAAAGGAGCAACTGGGGCAGTGGAATGGTATGACAGAGCCACCCTCCTGACAGGGCAGGGGCAGAGCGGGCAGGGTGTGTGGGCACCATTCAGCACTCCTGATCTATCTCTACAGCCCCAGGAGCTCACTGTCCCCTGGCTCTGCCCTCACGCTGCCCATGTGTGCTGCAGCACCCCTTGCGTGGGATGGCCAAACCACTCCTGGTGCTCTAGGGCTCCCAGCACATGGGCCTTGCCCTGGTCTCCCCTTTGACACCTATTCCTTCCTTGCTCTTTGGCTTATTAAGATGCGGTGAAGCTGTCTTCCCCGCTCCCACCGCTTTGAGATATTTTGACAATCAAGAGATATACAGTGGTACCTCAGGTTAAGTACTTAATTTGTTCTGGAGATCCATTCTTAACCTGAAACTGTTCTTAACCTGAAGCACCACTTTAGCTAATGGGGCCTCCCGCCGCCGCCACACCACTGCTGCGCGATTTCTGTTCTTATCCTGAAGCAAAGTTCTTAACCCGAGGTACTATTTCTGGGTTAGTGGAGTCTGTAACCTGAAGCGTATGTAACCCGAGGTACCACTGTATAATGTTTATGTGTGAAATAAATAATGTGCCCTTGTAATCCCATATGTGCACCAAGCAGCTTCCTCCAGCTGGGCTTGGAGGTGATGAAAAACAATAGAAGAGTGAGTTGACAGCAGGAGACTGTGATTGAATGCTGGGTGGAGTCCTAGTGAGTGACAGGTGGAAGGTGTCTGTTGGGAATGACAGTTGAAGAGGAGTTGAGAGACAGAGAGTTGAGGGAGAAGGTGAGGGAGAGAATGAAAGCACAGTTTAAACATTTAGGATAGCTCTGGAAAGGAGAGTCGGTGAAGCAGGGTATCAGAGCTCTTATTTACTCATCTCTATTTGTTCTGAATGCTGTGTTCCCTTAATCAATATATATCTAGTATTTTAACTTTCCACTTGCAGTGGGTTATAAGCTCAGTAGATCTCTCCCCATGTGCCTTGTGCCGGCTGGTGCAGGCTGAGCAGTGTGGCGCATCTGGCTTCCCGGTGCCACTTACCGGGGGCGGGGGAGGTGCAGGAAGCTGAGTGGCAGGAGCGGCTGGGGAGCCAATCTGACCCTCCAGCTGCCGCACCATCACTGCCCTGAGCTTTCCGTGTCTTTCCCCTCTCAGCAAGCGGCAGCGACCAACACTGTTTTGCTGAAGTGTCTGGGCAAAATCCGGCCAGGCAAATACAGCCCTCCAGGCATCCCTGTCCAGGCCTGCTTCCTCCCCAGGTGTTTTTGCTGTGTGGGATGTGTCCTTGGCCTCTGAGAGTCTTCCTAGTCTCTGAGATGCCGTAACAGAAGGTTTTGTGAGGACCATTACACCTGGACTTGGGAAGTTTGTTGAGGGGTTGGCCTAGTGACCTCTGGGAACAAAGTGTCTTATAGAGAAATCCGGGAACACCAGAAGTAGCTTTAAAAATGTTGAGTAAAACCATATGGCAAACTGCAACTGCCAGAATTCCTCTTACGTATTCAGGTCCAACAGAAGGTACAGATGAAACAGGGGAACTGGAGTCGATTCTGCTAGATGTATTTCTCATCTCACAAGCTTCTTAGGCCTTGGTCTCTTCACTTGCTTGTGCTATATTGAGGCTTTTTGGCCAAACTAATCTGGAGGAGGGCTGGTTATACAGAGGAACCTGCCTGAAGAAGTAGACTGGTCTAAACAACTTAGACATACCATATTATGATCCTGTCATTTTTCATCTGTGATGGACTGTTGTACCTGCTGTTCTACTGACAGCCTATAAGGAGTTGTCATCACCACCCAAAGTAATGATCCCAGCTAACACACATAGCTCATATTCATCTTCCCTCCACCATCATTTCTAGGGATACTCTCTGCAGACCAGAATGAAAAAAGCATGTCAATAAAATTTCTATGATGCTTCTGTGTTTCTTACTTTTCCTTTCTATATATCTTATTTTTATTGGTTTTCCAAATTATTAGAGATTAAACCAAATTACTTTAATTTAATACAACTTCTTTTTTAAAAAAACCAGGTTTCCCACTCCTGTTGCAAACATATGTCCACCACTTCCCCTTGTAGGCACTTCATCTGTTCTTTAATATCCACTTAATCCTTCTCTTGATGTTAGTCCATTCTCACAGCTGACCATTATTCTTTCCTTACATACAGCACCTCTGTTGTTTCTCATAAATATAAAATCCATTTGACGGGTTTAGTCCTTCATAAACGTTGTTCTCGGACCTGGTGTATTGGGAGAGTTCAGTTCCTTAGTTCAGTTCACTGCAGTAAACAAGGTCAGTTCACACTCCATATTCCTTCCGCTGTTCACCAACCTGTGTACAGGCTGCAGCTATAAATAACTCCCAGATAACATGCCCAGTCTCCTCCATTGAAATTCCACTCTGGGGTTCTTCCTCGGCACACAGCTAAAGACAAAGTCTTCTCTCAAATATAGCCTCTTGCCAGATTTAATTAGCAGCCACTCATCTTCTTACTCTGCATTGTGCTTTTTTCCCCTATAATAATTTTTATTGGTTTTACATATAATTACATTGTGTAACATGATATTATCTTATTATATCTTTTTGGCTCACCTGAGCCTAATGACTTCCCTCCCTCGCTCCTAATGGTTTACAAAATTAAATTTTGCATCTTTGCATTTCACTACTTTTCCTATTCTTGTTATATCATTACTTAAAATATTAAATTACTCATTCTGAATAGGTAGTAATTTCATCTTACAAATCTTCTGATAACCCTGCTAGTGATGTTAATTGCTTACAGATGTCTTTCAAATATAATATAAATTTATTCCAGTCTTTTAGGAATGCTTGATCTCACTGGTTCCGGATTCTTCCTGTCAGTTTTGCTAGTTCTGCAAAGTCCATCAATTTCATCTGCCACTCTTCTTTTGATGGTACTTCATGATGTTTCCATTTTGGGGCTAACAAAATTCTGGCTGCAGAACAATTTTTTATCTTGTCTCGGTATCTTTTACCCACTATACCCAATAAAAAAAAGTTTCTGGTTTTTACTCTGCATTGCTCCCTCACACTCCAGTCCAAAGATAATTTTAAATAAAGTCCATTCAACCTCGATTGATGGGGGAGTGCATAATAAAACCTTGTTAAATTCCTTCTCGAGCATAAATCAAAAGCTTCCCCCCTCTTTTCCTTGGTGCCAGACAGAATAACATAGCCACAGCTACACACATCTCTTTCATTTTGCAGGGGAGGACAAGAAGAAAAAAAAGATTTGGAAACCATATGAAAGCGCAAAGAACCTTATGCGCCCCCTTCCGTCCCGGTTTTAAGGGTTTTCAAGCTTCAGAAAAATCAAATACCTTCAAAGATCCAAACCCAGTCCTTTTTGCAGATGATTGATTGCAGCCCGTTATCATATGTCATTTCAGGAGCACCTCATGATTAATGCCAATATTCCAAATTAATGAGGAACCAATCACAAATCATGCCGGAGACAGAGGTTCGTACCCATTCTGCCTTTAAATTGGCAGACACGGCCTTAAGTGGCACAGTGGGATGCAGTGAACTCCCCAGAACCCATTGGGGAACATGGTCAGGATTTTTGCCTCCTAAATCCTGGCTTTCCCTGCCTGAACTTCCCCTCTGCCCCAGAGGGCAGTGGAGAGCTACCGCCATGAATCGTGAGGTCAGGCGGAAACCTTCTTTCTTACTTTTCCATCCTGCGCTGGTCAAATGATCTCTTTGCTTACTTCTTTTGAGGAGCTCTGCTACACTATCTATATATTACCAAAATCAAAAAAATTATAGCAGAACAAAGAAGTTTAGCATACATATTTTAATCAGTTTATGTCCATAATTTACTGAATGCTGTTTTAGAACATGCAGTAAAAATCTTGAAACAAAAGGAAATGCCAGGGAAAGCTGCTCCTTCTGAAGACGTCATTGTATTTCTCAGCAAACTGCTTTAAAGAACCCACCTTAAACTGAAAACAGTGGCAGCATTAAGATAAATTCAACAGTGAGATTAATAACTGAATGACGTAAACTGGAGAATTGACTAAAATGGTTATAGTAAAATATGCAGGAATGATAGATAAGTAAAAAGAACCATGGAAGGAGAAGAAGGGAAGTCAACAGACATATGGTATTGTGTAAAATGTTTACTTTGAGATGTATAAATGGGAAATCTAATAATATATAGAACCTACCTTAAAGAAACAAATTTCAATAGCCATAGGAGTGGATATTCTCTGGAAGATTTGCAGATTTGATCTCAGTGAATGCTCCTGTGGTTTTTAAGCTTTTGATGGTGCCTTTAAAAATTTGATAACTTCTGTTAAGGTTTTGAAAACTGGGATTCTTTTTAACCCCCCTCCTCCCTTGTTTCTTCCCAGCTCCATGTGGTCAGAATGAAACCAGAGAGGATGGGAAAATAATCCAGCTGCCTCCCTGCAAAACAGGAGCCTGGATCGTTCCTGCCATCATGGCTTGCTACCTCTTGGTTGCAAACATTCTTCTGGTGAACCTCCTCATTGCCGTTTTTAAGTGAGTGTCTATTGTTTTAAAATTCAGTGACTGTAGTAAATGTTTCAGGAACTTTTGATGCTCAACTTTGGGATTTCTAAGATGGGGTTATAGTGATAGTGTTGGTAGTGCATTTACATAGTTAACAGCTCAGATTACTTTTGCAGTCAATCAGGAGAATGTAAACTCACAAACTGGTAAAAATATAATGAATTATCTTTTGTTTTTTAATAGTTCAGAGAGTTCTCTTCTGGTCAGAAAAAGGGATCTGACCTAGCAACCTTCCACGTGGATAACTAGATAAGATGCAGGAGACATAGGAAATACGTATCTTCCCATTTTATTGTATTTTACAACTTCCTTAGAGCCCCAAATTGCTTTGAATTTCATCAAATCAGCTGAATACAGTACACAGGAAACTGCCTGGTATTAAGTCAGACTCCAAGTCTATCTACATCAGATTTTACAGTGACGGGCATCCGTTCTCCAGAGTTCCAGGCAGAGGTCTCCCCCTCTGTACTCCAAGCCTGAGCTGCTGCTCTTCTCCCGCTAGCCATTTTTCTGGTCAAAATTGCCTCCCCAGCTGCTTTTCCTTTCCGTGGGGGACACAAAAAGCAACTGAGGGATATTCTGGTGGGCAGGAGATGGCTTCCTAGGAAAAGACTGAGCCTGCCCCCTTCCTGCACCACTCTGGTCAGTTTGGAGCTGCCTTGGGGCTACGTTAAAGAAAAATATCAGGAGCCACTTCATGGGGGGAGATGAGGACTGGTTTCTAGGAGGAAGCTAAAATCCTCACTGCTCAAGTACAGTGCATGTTATGAGCCAAAGTGCCCCCCACCTGTATAGCCTGGGGGAACCCCGCCAGATGGGTGGGGTATAAAAATTACTATTACTAGTCTGCTTGCATCCAGGACCAGCAACAGCATCCTTGGGCTTCTTTCAGAGCCCCACACCAGCCAAGAGCATGAACCAGTGTTGACCCCAGTTCATGACCATGAGCTGCCATTTCCCACAATGCACCAGAGTGATACACTCTAGGGGATTGTGGGATATTTAAATTGCCCCTTGTTGCCACCTGTCGCTGCTGCCTGGACCCATGGAGGGCATTTTGCTGAGGGCCCCTCAAACCTGGAAGCAGCTCAGCTTACTCTGTAAACTTTGTGGAATAGGCAATAAATGGACCTCTTCAGAACTGTTGCATTGCTGTTTTGTGAATTTTTTACTTGTCCCAGAATTACACTGAAGCCTAAGATTAAACTGGGTTCTTTGACTGTCTTGGTGGTCTGGGAGCATTAGTGCTCTGCTCTTTCCAGCACTGCTGAGCATGATGGTGGCACATGTGGGAAGAGCCCATGCTGTGGCCCCTTTCCATGCCAGGTTTATCTCATTTTTCTGAGAGCTCTTGAGTGAGCTTCTCCTATAAGCTCCAAGGTTCCCGTGTTATTTTGGGAACATGACAGCTAGGAGTAATGTTGCTGTTGTCCTCACCAGATAATGTAAAAAAGCAGTTTAATGTGGCAAAAAGAATGTCTTTGAAGTGGGTGGCCTAACAGTTGTATTTGAGAAGCTTTATGTATACAACAAGTTTTTGTTTCTATTGCCTTATCATGAAATTACTTTTGTAGATGTAGCCCTAAGATTCTTTTAAAGTATGAAACTAACTGTCAGGGCCGCCTCAGGTCCCAGCTCACAAGAGACCAACGCCAAGTCCACTTTATTTACAAAAGTCTTTATTGAAGTACATTGTTTGTTCCACAGCCGAGGCGCGCAGCCCCACGTCTGTTATGCTTAGACCGCTGAAGTCCCCTCTGAATCAGTCCCGCCTCTACACCAGTTTAAGAGGCTTCTGCTGGTCCACCTCTTCCTGTCCTTCCTTTTCCGCAGGGTCTTTCTGCCCCCCTGGGTTCCTTCCCTCCTGCTTTCCCCTGACGCTGAGTCCCCAGACGCCTGCTCCCCCCTCCTCCGTGCTTTGGGACCAGGCTCCTTCTCCGGGCTCTCCGCATTTCCACGCGCCTCCACATTTGAACTTGGCGCGCGTTCGCTACCCCTGACCTTCCTCTTGACAGTTACACTACTCTCTGTACTACTCTCCGCCCCTTCCGGCAGGACGTCTTGCCCCGATCTCCTTCCCCTCTCTGCTTCCTGCTCTGCTTCGTCTGTCACACTGGGAACTCCACCCTCTTCACTCCGTTCCGGCGGGGAAGCCGGCCCCGATCTCCAACTCCCACTCGGGGTTTCCCTGCTGCTCCCCTGCTCCTGACGAGTCCCCCCTGTGGCTCCCCTTGGCCTGACCAGGGGCGCCCCCTTTTGGGAATCCTCCGATTCACTTGAAAGACTCATGGAAACCCTCAAGTCATTGTCATCCTCCTCCTCCTCGTTCCTGGATTCTTCCCCCTCGCTCTCAGTCTCCTCCCTCATCTGTGCCTCTCTCCCTGAACCCCTGACACTAACATTATAACATGTGAATAAAGCGAACAAGTGTTTTAAAAGGCTATTCTATGGTACATCTACCAGAGAGTACCACTATTCTATGGTACATCTACCAGAGAGCCATGAGTAGCTGCAGATCCCTACTGAGTATACACTCATGTCTGGGGCTGTGTAATGTATGGAATGGCCCCTATATTGCATGTGAAATTTTAGATGTTCCTCTCCTTCTGCTTCAGCAACACCTTTTTTGAAGTTAAATCGATATCTAACCAAGTATGGAAGTTTCAGCGGTATCAGCTTATTATGACATTCCATGAAAGACCAGTCTTGCCCCCTCCACTCATCATCTTCAGTCACATGACTATGATATTTCAGCACATATGCTGTCGATGGCGGAAGCATGATAGCGACCCTGATGAAACGGACTATGGACTGAGTAAGTTTAATTCATCTTCTCCATCATAGATACAATAAACATATGGAAAATATACTCAGCTCTGCTTAGTTGTCTTGATTTGGAGAGCAGTCAAGAATCATAGCAATTATCTCTTTCGGTTTGACAAGGACACGAGCACAAAGAGTGTACAGTGGTACCTCTGGTTACGTAGTTAATTCGTTCCGGAGGTCCGTTCTTAACCTGAAACTGTTCTTAACCTGAAGCACCACTTTAGCTAATGGGGCCTCCCAGTGCCGCCGCCCCGCCAGAGCACAATTTCTGTTCTCATCCTGAAGCAAAGTTCTTAACCTGAAGCACTATTTCTGGGTTACCGGAGTCTGTAAGCTGAAGCATCTGTAACCTGAAGCGTCTGTAACCTGAAGCGTATGTAACCCGAGGTACCACTGTATTAGGAATGCCAAAAAACTTAAGAAAGCCACTTTTCAGAGTCTGGCCTACCCTGAAACTGAAAGCCGCCATGTCCTGCATGAAGTGTGGCACTTGAAATATGCATGGAATATGTATGGAAATATGTACCGTGTGTATGTTACAAACCTGAAAATGATTGAAATGTGATTTCTTTGTGGGGGCAGGGGGCGGGGGGATATGCAATTTTAAAGCCACAAAATAGGCAGTGCCTTTCAAAACCTTGTGATGATAGCTAATTAACTTCTTTTAACTGCTGTTTTGTCATTGCCTCATATGTCTTCTACAGAGCTTTTTATAACTGATGATGAACTGAAAAAAGTTCATGATTTTGAAGAACAATGTATAGAAGAGTATTTCAGAGAGAAAGATGATAGATTCAATTCGTCCAATGATGAAAGAATCCGAGTTACCTCTGAAAGGTGAAAGATTTTTCATTTTGGTTTCTTACATAGTGTATATTTTGAAATTTGTTACTTTTGAAAGGAAAAAAAACTTTAAACAAGGCTTTACTGTCAAGAAACTAGGGTAGATTTTAAAAAATTAAAAAACAGGGTTAAAAAATTGTAAATCATATTTTTTATTCATTTCTTTTGTTAAGTTTATCCTAAATAAGTAGATTAATAAGTATTGTAGCACATCCTGAGGCTTCCAAACATATGTATATTCATAATTTAAAGGTGTAGCTCAGCCATTAAAATTAAATATGAAATTTTTAAAAAGGAAATTTTTAACCAGTATGCAGAAATGGTAAAATTATTTTTGCTTGACTGCATAAGCATCAGTCTTCTGGATTTTTTTCTTATCAGTTCACTTTTCTGAACATTATCTCCTTACATTATAAAGATATAAGGGTCGTCAACAGGCTCATCACAGCTATCTGCCAAAATCACCCATTCCCACCACCCTTCTGAGTAAAACCCCTCCCCACCTTCTCACTATATAGAAGGATCTGGCAACTTCTGTTTCAGTGTATCTGAAGAAGTGTGCATGCACACGAAAGCTCATACCAAGAACTAACTTAGTTGGTCTTTAAGGTGCTACTGGAAGGAATTTTTTTTGTTTTAAAGATATAAAAGTTATACAGATCAGTTTGTTGTAAAATAATGCAACATTTTGAGTCAGACGTGTCAACTCGTGCTAAACATTGCAGGTGCCCAACGACAAGTGTTCAATGTGCAATGTATACACGACCTCACATCCTGTTTTGGGAGGAACCAGGGGCGGAGCCAAATGCAGTGGCCTTTGGCTCCTCCTCTCTCACCATCGGCCCTTACTCTCCTCTTCCCACTGGTGGGATTGTTCTCCCCAGTCATTAGGAAGAGAGTTCCTGGTTCTCAAAGAACCAACCACGTCCTCCTAAGCTTTGTCTTGCCCTGGACGCAGCTGGCTGCTTCAGTTCTAAGGGCACAGAATGCAGGTCCATCATACTTAGTTTTCCCCCTTAAGGCTTTTAAAGGCCACCCAAGAGCTGGCTCTCCTTCTGCCGAGCTTGGGGTTTGATTTTGGCTCCCAGCAATGTGTCTGGGAGGGGCAGGAGGTCTGTCCTGAAAAATGCAGGGTCCTCGCAGGTGGGAGAGTGACCACTTTCCCAATTCTAGTTTGGGACAAGAAGACACAAATCCAGAAGGCACACACCCCGGGGGATATCTGGATAAGCAAACATGAGAGAGTTGTTCGTTTGGTGGTTTTTTGCAAAGCACCAAATTCTTCTTTCTCTCTCCCCCTGCCCATATCAAATCTTTTACTTTGAAATCATTTTTATTTGATTTTACAAATGCAAATTAATTACAATGTCAAATAAATATCCATAAAAAGAGATTACTTTGAATCTTGGGACTTCCCCCCCCCCCATCCCCTCCATGGTCCTATTGTCAACATTTCCAGCTGCGTATTATTTCATAGTCTATGTTTTGCATTTATCCATATTGTCCATAATATTTATTACATTACAAGTGGGATTAAAATCCTGCTAATGTTGTCATCTGCTTACAGTGGTCTCCTAAATAAGTTGTAAACTTTCCCCATTCTTTCTTCAATTTCTTGTCTTCTTGGTCCCTGAGCTTTCTGGTTAGTTTTGCCATTTCAGCGTAGTCTAGCAGCTTAGCTTGCCATTCCTCTCTGGTAGGGACTCTTTCTTCTTTCCATCTCTGGGCCAGTAGTATCCGTGCTGCTGTTCTCGCATACATAAAAAGTCTTTTCTGGTCCTTTGGGATGTTGGTACCTATAACTCCTAATAGAAAAGCTGCTAGGTTTTTTTTACAAAGGTTATTTTAAACATTTTTTTCAGTTCATTATAGATCATCTCCCAGAAAGCCTTTATTACCTTACATGACCACCACATATGATAAAAGCTACCTTCTTTTTCTTTACATTTCCTGCAGGTATTTGTACTTGTTTTATACATTTTTGCTAGTTTACCACTGGTACATCATTTCCATATAGTTTTCTTTCAGCATACAACATGCCGTGAATTTCAAATCCGTTTTCCATAACCTTTCCCAATCTGAAATCTGAATATTATACCCCAAATCCCTTGCCCAGTGTATCATTACCAACTTGACCTGTTCATCTTTTGTATGCCATTCCAAGAGGAGTGTATACATTTTCAACAGTGATTTAATATTGTTTTCTAACAGATCTTTTTGAAATCTTGAAATCTCATAACTAAAACCTTTCTTTTTATCTGTTTTGAAAATATCATTTAGTTGGTTGAACTGTAACCAATCCATTAATAAATCCCTTATCTCTTCAAAATCTTTCAATGTTAGCACCATCATTCCCACTCTGTTAAATTGGATGCAAGAAACCAGAAGTTTAGTAAATCATACTAAACTATTTGTTCAGTCTGAAATTAACTATGCTTTCCTCTCTCTTCCTTTTTTACTTTTCTTTTGTAGGGTAGAGAATATGGCCATGCGATTAGAAGAAGTGAATGAACGAGAGCATTGCATGAAGGCTTCACTTCAGACTGTAGACATCCGGCTTGCTCAACTGGAAGACATGATAGGGCGAATGGCTACAGCCTTAGATAAGCTTACTGGCCTAGACAGAGGGGAGGCCACTAAGATACGGTCTCGAACATCCTCTGACTGTACTGACACAGCCTACATTGTCCGACAGAGCAGCTTCAACAGCCAGGAGGGAAACACATACAAACTTCAAGAAAGCATTGATCCCACGGGGGAGGAGTCCATGTCACCAACCTCTCCAACAGTCATTCCCCGCTTGCGAAGTCACTCCTTCTATGCAGTGAACATGAAGGACAAGTGCGGGTTGGAGAAATTTGAAAGCATTTTCAAAGAAAGGTCCCTCAGCCTCCACCGTGCCAGTAGTTCTCACTCTGTCTCAAAAGAGCAAAAAATCCCTTCTTTAGTGCCTACAAGCACTCTGTCAATTGCCCCAGACTCCAGACGGCCTTCCTCTTGCATAGACATTTATGTCTCAGCCATGGATGAGCTGCAGTCTGTCATAGAACCCCTTGACAGTTCAATGAACATCCTTGGGACTGGAGATCCAGCTCTCCAAGCTCAGCTAGCTTCCAGTGTTGTCTCCAGTAGTGCTTATGTCAGCAGTACTCCGGGTGATAGAATTTCTGGCAGGAGTATTGATTATGAAGACCAATCGATGGAAACAAGAGTGTTTTCTTCAGACTATTCACAAATTGCAGATTGCTCAAACCCCTGGGAATCAGACCCTCCCATGTACCATACTTTGGAGAGGTCTAAAAGCAGCCGATACCTGTCTACAACCCCATTTATTTTAGAGGAAGCACCAATAGTAAAGTCTCACAGTTTCATGTTCTCTCCTTCTCGGAGCTATTTCAGTAGCCTTGGAGTGCCAGTCAAAACAGCAGAGTACACAAGCATTACAGACTGCATTGATACAAGGTGTGTCAGTGCTCCTCAAACCATTGCAGAAAGGTCAAGCTTTCCTGGAGTTCATGGAGACAAAATTGATGACTTAGGATGCTGCCACCCAGAGAGGGAAGCGGAACTAAGTCACCCAAGCTCTGACAATGAGGATACCGAAACCAAAGACAAAAAAGCAGTTCCCTTGTCATCTCAAGATAGCAATACATCTAGAATATTGTCCAACAATATCCCTCTTCCAAAAATAGAGAGGGCCAACAGTTACTCTGCAGATGAGTCCAACTTGTTGTATGCACACACAAAGAAAAGCTACTCCATCAGTGATAAACTTGACAGGCAGCGCAATGCAACGAGCCTCCGAAGTACATTCCAGAGGAGCAAGTCATCCAGACCAGAGAACAGGTCGGACACCTTATCAATGAGAAGACTCTCTAGAACAGGTGCCTTCCATAGCTTTGAGAGCAAGCATAGTTAGAGATAATATGTGCATCATAACAAGAACTGTCTGAGACTTGTCTGCTCTTCAGTTTTTTCATTAGCAGAATAAAGTAACTTCAGACCATTATATGTCAGCAACAGCTGGCATCTGCCAACAGTGAAGTTAGCACTTTCATAACGTCAATGTCAAGCACTGAGGTTCTGTATCTTGACCTAGTTGGCATTTGCACTTAATGGGAGGGGGAGGGGGAAGGAAAAATTATAGAGACATTTTAAAAAATAAATAAATGGGTGAACAGTTTAAGAAATCTGCCTTTCAAAATAGGGATATATTGGTTTGAAAGAGAAACAAAATAACATGCATACAAAGAGGGTGTTTTGACTATGCTGGTTTCCACCTCAGTACCATCGCTGTGACAGCTAGTGAGGGCATCTTTGTATTACTCTATAGAAACTGAAAACAAAGTAGCCGTCAACTTTCCCCAGATTTCTCACATCCCTATACTTCTGCCTGATCATTGTAAAAAGAAGTTAGCTAACACGCTCACCGTTCACCTGTATCCTTTTTGTATTAACTTGCAGTGGCACAAATGTCTATATTTTCAAGAAGGGAAGAAAAGATATGCCTTTTGTATAGCAGCATGAGGGAAAGGGAAGAATTTATGTATAGTCACATGAATTCCTATTTTAAATGGGATTTTAAGCACTGTTGAGCAAGCTCAGGAGGAATGTAATTAAGTGGAATAGTAAATATTTATTTTTTTAAGCACGGGTACCAGTTTAGAAAGTATTTCACAGGACTTTGTTAAAATGTCATAGTGAGAAGGTAGTAAAAAAGAAGAACTGGCATCCTGTTCTCATTGTTCTGTGCACCATGCCCATCTCATTCACTATTTTCAAACTATTTTCATTCATTGTCACTGCCATATTCTTCTACCAGTTCCTCCATTTAGCTGCCATTATTTCATTTTAAGGCATGGTTATAACTGAACATTTTGGTGTTTATAGTATTGTATGTTTATCGTGTGGTCTGAACTTGGGTGAGCACAGAACAGCTGGAGATGCTGAATGATGTTCTGTGACAAAGCAAATCCTTTTTAGAAGTTAGTCGAAGCACCGAAGTGAAATTAACATTTCTGGTAACTGCAAAAGCCATTCCTTTAAGTATGCTTCCGTTGTCTAGAAAGGTAAGATAGCAAAACAATAATACCCTGCCCTGGTATGCAAGAGCCATCTCCCCCTCTGTCTCCCTCAGGCCCACCCTCCAACCATGTTTGCAATAGCCCTCTGGGGCTGCAAGGATTAAATGTGGTTTGTGCTAGGCAAGGGGCTAATACAGCAAAAAAAGCATAGCACCATTCAGAAGAAGAAAACCTTAATTGTGAAATGATTTTGGAGAAATAGTTTAATCCTTACTTAGCAATATGCCAGGGCTGCTACCCGCTCTGTAAATGTGCCATTCTCTTTTGTTTCTGACAACATATATGTGAGGTTTTGAAGGAGATTTTGAAAATTATTCTGAGCTCCAATGGCCAGTGACCACATTAATTGGACAATTTTAGCCACCCCAGCCTGTTTATCTGGAGAACAAAGCACCATATAGAACCACACCTCTGAAGATCTGCATTGCTCTAGTCTAGTTCCTCTGACACTACTAGCATGTGGTCGTGAAGAGGGAAGCATTATGAGCAGCAGCATTCACTCAATAGAGTTGCATGCTGGTTTAAATGACAAGATGCAGTGCAACTTCCTCACTTCCTTGGGTTCCAGCCAAAGGTCTCTACCCCTTATTAATCCATTGTTTACCCCTTCTTTTTAAAGTGTGTGTTGTTCTGTAACAAGAACTCATCACAGAATTTCTGACTTGAATGCATAGCAAATGTCACTTCAGATGTGCTGATTGGATGAAGCGATTTTCTTTGGCAGTCTATTTCAAATGCCCAACTTTACCTCTGTCTTTGTGACTAACTTCACATTATACGGACTCTGATGCCTCTTGGTATGTGTGTGTTTTAGAAAAGTAGCTTTGGGAAAGGACAGTTAAAAGTGCCCATCCACTCTTTTCCCAATGCAGATTTCCCCCAACGCAGCTTCCCATCCCTGCCTGAGGGGATTTCAGATAGGTGTTTGTGTGTGTGTGTGTGTGTGTGTGTGTGTGTGTGTGTGTGAGAGAATCATGCATTTGTCTGTACATCTAGGATTTGTGGCAAGGAATTGTTGCCTTTTCAACTTGCAATGCTACTTTCTAAGGCTACTTTCATATTTACCACAGTTCTTCCAGGCTAAGCAGCCAGAGACTAGTCACTAGAACCTAATCTGTGATGTGCTGCTGAACAGTTTTGGATCCTGTTCCCACTGAGAGCATTTGGATGCTTCTTCAGTTGTCAAATTGGGTCTATTTTGAGTTGGTCAGAATAGAGTAGCACTCTGTCTTGATTCTGCTTAAGGCCTAGACTGTCCTGGATCGCGGAATTATGATATAAACGCATTACATTCCCCCCACCTGTCCACTCTGCAGAACAGTCCAGTTTAACCTGATCTGACGCTACCTCTATAAAACGACTCTTCAAATGCTTTCTTGAAAGCCACTTGCCCATTTTTCTGTTTTTCTTCAGTGACACTTTTCTATCCCATATTAAGCATATCTAGGTGGCATCATAAATGCCACCAATCTTACCACTGTCATCATGGTGTAAATTTCTTTGACTAAAATAACGAGTGTGACCCTTTCCAGTCCATATACTAATGTGGGAAAGGTCAGACCTCAGCTGATCACTGGAATTTCTATGACAAAAACTGGCAATCAGCAGTGGTACTTTAAAGGCTACACCAGGATTCTCACTGAATTCTGAAATACAAAAATATAGACCACATTTTTTCTTAATCGCCAGCATACGCAAAAATTGTAGGTTTTGTTAACAAAATACATGTGAACCATCTTTATGTGCTCTTTTCAAAAGCTAGTGTGAGTTTTTACATGAATGTGACAACAAAAATGAATTCTGTTTTAAGTGGCCTTAAAAGTATTTCTGTTCACAAGGACAAGAAAGCAGGCACCCACCAGATAATTTGAATTCCTTTCTAGGAATCAGTCAAATTTAAAAGTGTCTCCCTTTTTGCATACAGTATCACTACATTTATCAGTTTTACAAGTCTTAGGGACAAAATTGCAATCTTTGTGTCACTTGTGAAAACACATTTTAACTCTACAAGCCCACATGCCCACTATGATCAGCAAGACTGCCAGTGAACACTCTGTCATTTCACCCACAGCTTCTTTGTTAGACTCCTGAATTAAGAGATTCCTGGACCAGAGTCTGTGTGAAAATTAGCCTATAGCACTTTATTAAACAAGAACTTGAACTCCAGGGATCTGGAACTTGGAATCTTTGGCTATGTTCATATCTATGCTAACAAATTGCAGCACTTCACTCAAGCAGTAATTCAGCAGTAAAATTCTCACTTACAGTATATATTGCCTATGTTGCCAATTCCACAGGGGTAACGTATTTGCAGAGAGCAAAGGTGGAGCTTTTCTTTTTTTCAAAAAGATGTCTTTCTGTAGATGGGCACACAAAATATGCATTGAAACAGGCAGTGTGATTACAAAATATAGTTTTCCTGGAATTGTTTCCGTTATCTCTAAACTGATACCCCTTCTGAGGTCCACTGTGAATGGCTCCTGTTTTTCCAAGTTTTGTGAGCTATCAATATCCTCTTTTGAGTATTCAGTACTATCGATCATGTTAATTTCTAAAGTGGAAATAAACTTTTAGCTTTTATCTTATAACCACAGCTTGTTGTATGTACATTATAAAGTTCAGCCTCATTTATCCAAATGCTTGCAGGCTGGGTTAGATCATAAATGTCTGAATAATCAAGTATCAGGTGAGCAGGAGCCCCACAATGATATGAGGTTAGATGGGAGCACACAAATCGGCTTAGATAATCCTCAGGTGTTCAGGTAAGGGGTGTGTGTCACTACCTTATGTACAAAATAAGTGGTGGTATGGGATTGAATTAATGAACGTTACAGAAGAGCATTGGACTTTGCACTTATATAGTCATATGCTTATTTGTCAGTGACGTTCAATAATACAGCACATGTTACACTGAACAACGGGCTCTGCTAGCCAGATTGCTATGATACATATAAAGGAAAATGCATTTGTTGGGCAAGGAGTCACCATCTGTAGCTACTGTATGTTTCCGTTTCTTCCGTAGAGCTCCACTGTCTTTGAGCTGATGTATAATTATCTAATGAGCCACTGTGAGCTGTGATAGTGTGAAAGAACAAACTGGCATGTTATGCAAAAGATGAGATAATTAATGTTAAAGTAATATTTTAAAACTCAATTGAGTTAGCTGTTTGTTTACATATGCTGGACAATTAAGGAAACTGTGTACAGTATTTTTAAAATATTTTCATATAGTGATCCATTCTGTTGTTTCCAGTTTACGTAAATGATACTATTCTATAGTTGGATATACACTTATCTTAGATATTGAATTATATAACGTTCTTCTTTCACAAGAATAGTATGCTGACTGAAATAGTTCTTCTACCTTAAATTTCAGTCTTATTTTGTGCCGATGAAAATGCATGCATAGTTCCATTAATTTCTTTGGACTATTATGGAGTTTAACATTTCAATATTGCCTGCCTGTAACAATGAATCCAGTTAGAATGAATTAACAATTTTGGTCTTTTATATTATTTTCCAATATGTTCATTTAATAGCACTTTAATATTATATGAAATGAAGTATTGAACGATGAAGGTCTTGAACCTATAGCATTTCTGGTTGAAATAATTATATATTTTCAAATAAGGTATTTCATTACTAGTTTTATCATATGTCTGTCACCAAGTAGCAGCAAGCTGCAAATTCCTAAAACTGTAACAATTGTCAGTAAGAAAATAAAACCCATTAATACAACATAGTAAAATTGCTGAAGACTCTGGAAAGTAACCTTTCATATAATTTCTAAAGTTTGGGGGAAGGTGTTTGTGTGTTTTGGTATAGTCTTGTAGAGTCTATGTTTCTTAGGTTAGATGGCTTTCATTGCAATCCTGTGACAGTCTACACAAAAGTAATTCTCATTGAGTTCAATGAGACTTCCAAGTAGGTGGGTATAGGATTGCAGCCTTAGAATACAACATTTGTTGTTGGCAGATGAATATCTTAGACTCTGCAGCTGCCCAGCTCTTGATAAATGTAGCTATGAAAAACGTTCAGCTTTGCAATTCAATACCCACAAAGTAACGCGAGTATGGTCAGAAAGGGTAGTGTGGAAGACAGGGAATAGCAATGTGTGTGTAAGTTTAATCTACCCATTCTCTCTTCTGCATCAGAAATCATGATGTCTTCTCTAAACATAAATGATTTATATACCTTGAAAGCATGATCATATTGAGGACTGCTATGTGACATTATTTTTACTTATTCATTAAAGTATTTAATAATTCAGCCTATGCCCATACTTTCCCTTCTCTGGACATAATGGTTACTTTTAAGTGGAAGTCTTCAATGGACATGTGCCCTGATCCAGAATTCTAGCTGTATTTCTGGATCAGCCGCCACCTGTGAAATTAAAAGTACCAGTAAGTATTCAGAACTGGGGAGCTCTGTGTCAAGCATGGGAAACCGCAGTCCCTGGAGGCATTTGCAGCCCACCATGTCTCTCTGCCCTACTCTCAGAAATCTACCCACACTATTCTTCGTCTCCAGGAAACACTCCTTGCCAGCCCTGCTCCAAATCCCCACCCCCACCCCCCACAAAAAAGTGCTTTTGCCTGGCTGGAACCTGTCACTTGCTTGCCTACAGAGAGATGGGGGGTGTAGAAACCTCAGGCGTCTGCATGGCTTGAATGTTGCTCATGCCCACTTAGACCTCTCTCCCCCCCCCCCCCGGCATGTGCTGCCATTGGGTTGAAAAAGGTTCCCCTGCCCTCCGTAGTCACGCCCACCCTGTGGGACACCCTCCCATCAGATCATAGAATCATAGAATCATAGAGTTGGAATAGACCACAAGGGCCATCGAGTCCAACCCCCTGCCAAGCAGGAAACACCATCAGAGCACTCCTGACATATGGTTGTCAAGCCTCTGCTTAAAGACCTCCAAAGAAGGAGACTCCACCACACTCCTTGGCAGCAAATTCCACTGTCGAACAGCTCTTACTGTCAGGAAGTTCTTCCTAATGTTTAGGTGGAATCTTCTTTCTTGTAGTTTGGATCCATTGCTCTGTGTCCGCTTCTCTGGAGCAGCAGAAAACAACCTTTCTCCCTCCTCTATATGACATCCTTTTATATATTTGAACATGGCTATCATATCACCCCTTAACCTCCTCTTCTCCAGGCTAAACATGCCCAGCTCCCTTAGCCGTTCCTCATAAGGCATCGTTTCCAGGCCTTTGACCATTTTGGTTGCCCTCCTCTGGACACGTTCCAGTTTGTCAGTGTCCTTCTTGAACTGTGGTGCCCAGAACTGGACACAGTACTCCAGGTGAGGTCTGACCAGAGCAGAATACAGTGGCACTATTACTTCCCTTGATCTAGATGCTATACTCCTATTGATGCAGCCCAGAATTGCATTGGCTTTTTTAGCTGCCGCGTCACACTGTTGGCTCATGTCAAGTTTGTGGTCAACCAAGACTCCTAGATCCTTTTCACATGTACTGCTCTCAAGCCAGGTGTCCCCCATCTTGTATTTGTGCCTCTCATTTTTTTTGGCCCAAGTGCAATACTTTACATTTCTCCCTGTTAAAGTTCATCTTGTTTGTTTTGGCCCAGTTCTCTAATCTGTCAAGGTCATTTTGAAGTGTGATCCTGTCCTCTGGGGTGTTAGCCACCCCTCCCAGTTTGGTGTCATCTGCAAATTTGATCAGGATGCCCTTGCGTCCATTATCCAAGTCGTTGATAAAGATGTTGAATAAGACTGGGCCCAAGACAGAACCCTGTGGCACCCCACTAGTCACTCTTCTCCAGGATGAAGAGGAACCATTCATGAGCACCCTTTGGGTTCGGTCAGTCAGCCAGTTACAAATCCACTGAGTGGTAGCATAGTCAAGACCGCATTTTACCAGCTCCTTTACAAGAATATCATGGGGCACCTTGTCGAATGCCTTGCTGAAATCAAGGTAGGCTACATCCACTGCGTTCCCTTCATCTACCAGGCTTGTAATTCTGTCAAAAAACGAGATCAGGTTAGCCTGACATGACTTATTTTTCAGAAATCCATGCTGACTATTGGTGATCACAGCATTCCTTTCTAGGTGCTCACAGACTGTTTGCTTAATGATCTGCTCCAGAATCTTCCCTGGTATTGATGTCAGACTGACTGGGCGAGATGTCAAGGAAATAAATAATTATCAGACTTTTGGAAGTTTTAAAATGTTTGACTGTCATTTTATAATTTGTTGGAAGCCACCCAGAGTGGCTGTGAAAACCCAGTCAGGTGGGGGCAGCGTATGATTTTTATTATTTTTATTTTTATTTTTATTTTTGCTATTGCTGCTGCTGCTGCTCTATATGCTTCATCCAGAGCTCCTGCGCTTGAAGATCATGTGCAAGATTAAGGGCATTAATTTGCAAGGGCCTCAATGCAGCTTCAACAATTTGGGTACCTGATCGTTCACCCTTGTACTCAGCCTTCCTGGTTTGAAAATGGCAGTTTATAAAGTAGGTGAACTGAGTGTAATCCTGCATTTATAAACTTCATAGTAAACATGCATAGGATTGCACTGGGAATCTGCAAACACCCTCTGTGGAATTCAGTATTAGATTTATCAAATGAGATTGGCATGAGAGCCCTGCTTATCTCCATCCTTGGAAGGCATTCCCTTCTTCCAGTCACCACAAATGAAATAATTATTGCTCCTTTAAATGAACTGTGTATAGAAACTGGAAACCATCCATTAGATTTTGCAAAATGGGTACACAATATTTTATTATGATTGACATATTGTGGATGTACTTAGTGAGGTGTATTCAAGGAATAGTTTTCTTTAGCCACTGTATCAGCCCCTGTATGAGCAGAGTTTCTTTGCTGCTATTGCTTGGAACAGTGTTTTAGCCTAACACCTAACAGATTATTAGCAGGATTATTATTTGTATATATTACACAAAAAAACAGTTTATTTAAAACAATCAATGAAAATATAATTTTATAATTATTTCCTAGAAAGTGTTGTTGTTGTTCGTGTGTAAAAGAGAGAAAATGTTTGTGTGTAAAAGAGAGAAAGCTCCAGCTCTCTCCCCCTTTGTGTATGGGCATGTATACACACACACACACACACACACACACACATACATACACACATTCCTTTTAAAGTTCTACTGGATTCACAATGCACTTTTAGGTTGTCTATTTAGATATGTAATAAAAAGCAGAAGTTGGCAATTGATGCAGCAGGACTTTTGAAATTTCTGTAACAAATGTTTTGCAATAAAAAGGGATGTAGTCCAAAACACATCTACAGCTCCTTGGTACTTTATTTGTGGTCAGTTTCAACACCCAGCTCAAACCACAGAAGTTTCTATTTCCCACATCCCAACACTAGCACTCTTAAGTTATTTCTGGCTGGTCCCAGCATGTCTGATTTCACATATATATGTGTACATGACATGTATTTGCAGAATTGTTGCCCTGAGTTTATCTCTTTTGATTAACAGAGTAAACTAGTTGCTTCTAACATTCACAAAGCAGTGTTGAGCCTGTAGCAACTCTTCCTTTTACTTGTTCAAAGAAAACATTTAACGAAAATACTGGGGGTTTTTTCTACATGAAACCGTTCTATTAGCTTCACATAGTTGTGTCTTATCATGCATCAAACAACTGCCTAATTGAGAAGGAGGATGCGTTGTTCAGTCCCCGGCATCTCCAGAAAAGTCTCCTGTCTGAATCCATGCAGAGATACTAACTAGATGAACCAGTCGTCTGACTCTGTCTAAGGCAGTTCCCTGGTTTTTCAGTGAGAGTGGATATTATAGATTGATTATTGACAATTTAATTTCTATACCACTTAATTATTAATATCTCTAAGCCGTGTACAGAAAACTGATGCAACGTCAGACAACGAATTATTATTTTTTTACAAAACTACAGTTACATATAAAAATGTTTCATTAATACAAAGTTACTAATATATATAAATCCATATTGGTTCATTTCCCTTCTGACACACCATCCCTCTCAACCCAGGGTCCAAACAAGCTCTCAGCTCACCTACAAAAATCTCACAACAAGAAGAGCTCCTGGAAACCGCGGACATCTGCCTAGTCTCTCACTCTAGACTTGCTTTTTATGGGCAATATATCGTACTTCACAGTGTGATTTTTCTGGAAAAAGAGAAATCCATGAGCACCTCCCTCGTTCTGTTAGAATGGTAATGGTGCTCACCTGAGTTCCAGTGAGTTCCGGCTGAAAAAATGCCCACAGCTGTGTCCCATTCAGCTGCACTCTTCACACCCAGTTCCAGGAACAGCAGGTTTGTTGAGTTACGGGGGGGGGGGGGGCGCTTCCAAAGGATAGTAGTAGTATACAGCCCCATTCACGCAGGTATCAGGGCAGATCACAACATAAAAGCACAATCTAAAAACATGTAATAAATAATAAAAATAAAAGCAAAGACATCCCAATAATCCCCCCTTCCCAACACATTTTAAAAGTTCATTGGATGTCAATCAGCCAAAGGCCTGGTTAAAGAGGAACATTTTTTTCCTGGTGCCTAAAGGTGTCTAATGAAGGCATCAGGCAAACCTCCCTAGGGAAAACATTCTACAAACAGGGAGCCACTGCAGAAAAGGCTCATTCTCATGTTGCCATCCTCTGGACCTCTCTTGGAGGAGGCACATGAAGAAGGGTCTAGGTAGGCTTATATAGAGAGAGACGGCCCTTGAGGTATTGCAGTCCTGAACCATTTAAGGCTTTAAAGGTCAAAGGAAGCACTTTGAATTGGGCCTGGAAACTAAATGTTAGCCAATGCAGTCAGAGCAGGATCGGTGTAATATGTTCAAACCGTCTTGCCCCAGTGAGCAACCTGGCCACTGAATTCTGCACTAGCTAAAGTTTCTGAACCATCTTCAAAGGCAGCCCTACATATAATGTGTTGCAGTAATCTAACCTTGAGGTTTCCAGAGCATAGACAGCAATAGGCTATCCCTGTCCAGATAAGGGTGCAGCTGGACCACCAGCTGAAGCTGATAGAAAGCACTCCACAGCACTGAGGTCACCTAGCCTCAAGTGACAGCAAAGGATCCAGGAATACCCCCAAGCTACGAACCTGCTCCTTCAGAAGAAATGTAACCCCATCAAGAGCAGGCAACCTCCCAGCCATCCGGTCTAGGGAAGCATTTACAGTGTCTCAGCCTTATCTGGATTGAGTTTCAGTTTGTTAGCTCTCATCCAGTCCATGCTGGGTTGTCTATCCCCAAAACCTGGACCTCCTCCGACATAGTCTCAATCCCAAAACCA